TATTTTCTTCCATTTTGTAGGTTGTCTCTTTAGTCTGTTAATTATTTCCTTTGCTGTGCAGAAGCTTGGCTTGGAATTATTAAAAGTGTGATTTCTACATATGAATCAATCACAAGACATGTCAAAGGGAATTTCTTTTTCCTCTGGAGGCAGCAATAACAGGATTAACCACAAGCGCTCACAATTGACTCCACGTGGTTGTCCACATTGTGCTGTCACAATGATTGCACCTGAAAAATCATCTAGGTCTTCAGAAAGAAGAGAGTGGAGGACTAACATTTATTGGGACACTCCCATATCATATATATGCATACTTCTACTAATATAGCCCTGTGCAGTTCAGATGTGCTAGCCCTTGTTGTCTCAGAAAATCTCTCTCTCTCTCTCTCTCCCTGCCCCCTCCACACACGCCCCTCTCCACATGTTTCATTACTGAACAGTATATATAATACCTAAGTTTTGTCCTGACCTTTTAGCTAGTAGAGTGTGTGCTCAGCACATGAGCACTAACTAGGGTGACCTAACAATTTATCACATAAACTAGAATACTTTTGAAAGCAAAAGGGGACCCTATTACAAATGCCAAGACAGCTGCGCCTCATGAAGTGCATCATAAACAGCACTGCAGCTGGGAATGAACAACCATCAGTGGCTTGAACCACAGCTTAGTGAAGACAGTGGCAACAGCCTTGACCTCAGAGGATTTGAAGAGAATCTATGCGCAATCCCCAGGGATGAAATAATTCAGCCATTCAGAACCTTGTCCCTAAGTAATAAAGGGTTTCTTTGAGCACAATCTCTTCTCATATTTACAATCACTCTGCAAGAGAGATATTATTATTCTTACACCAGAGATAAGGAAAGGGAGGTTTAAAGAATGAATGCAAAATGTCCAAAATCCTTACAGCCAGAATTTGGTAGAGAAGACACTAGGACTTGGCCCTCTCTGATTCCAGACACCAACTTGGAAGCCATATAATGTCCTGGGCTGGATACAAATTTTGGTGGCCACCGATCAGCTTTCAAATTCCAGCTCTAGTTACCTTGGCTGACCTGTATGATCAGAGTACAATGTTGAATGTAGTAGCAAATGTGAATACAGTGCTTGCCATAGTCGCTGCTCTGTGCTAAATGCATTCCCTATGCTATCCCATTTCATGCTTTGTACTGACCCCATCATGTATGTACTATTAGAAACCCCATTTTGCAAATGAGGGAAATAGTCTGAAAGAGGCTGGAAAAGTGCCCACTTCATGAAAGATACACGATAAATATATTTCCCTTCTGTCCTGACCACAGGGTCAGAGCACAGTAGAGGTCTTGAACCATTCTGTGCTTTATGATATTGTTCTTGAAGGTCTTAGGAGGCGATCTCTTCCCTAATGAATGTGCCTGCTTTTCCAGTTTTTCCAAAGGTTCAAGAATTACTTACTATATGGTGCATATTATTATTATTATTATTTTTGATTTGGCCAAAATACCTCCCACTTTCTTGAAACCATTTTACCCCATGCAGTGGTTGTGGTCATGCATAAGAAACAGCAGGTGGTGCCAGATGACAGATGGTGTGGGAGCGCGTTCCCCGGTAGGAGGGGGCGCGAGCGAGCAAGCAGGCAGGCAGCTGCCAGGAGCTCTTCCCCGCTCGCTCACGCCTGCTCTCAGAAGCTCCGATCCAGACACACGCGAGGCGCTGTCCTTTCAGCACCACAAGCTCGGGCTGAGGAGGGAGGACTCCCGGCCGTCCTCCTCCTCTTCAAATTGGCTTGAATCTGCTCTGACCCCACAAGAGTGCAGCACAGTAAGTAGGCATTTGTTTTTGCTATAACCACTCACCAATATCTTGCAAACCCTTTCACCCCCACAACCACCCTGTTTTGTCTAAACGTTCCATCAGCAGGATTGAGAGAAGAAATTCAGTTGTGTTGAGCTTCTGGGGGTGGGAGGGGAGCACCATTAGACTTCTAAGGGATCTGGAGATGAATAAATGTGATTTGTTTATTTAGTTGGCAATCCTGCAATATGGGAGCTGCTAACTTTCCGTGGAACCAAAAAAAATGGCCCTTCGCTATTGAGGAAATGGAGTCATTCCATGGCTGAATAACAGGATCAGGTTCAAGCTAGCCTTTTTTTTGCTTTTATTTTAGGAAATTGCACCTCATGTACAATCCACATATGATGTAATAGGGTACACACTGAGACATTGAATGTATTATTGTGTTTTAGGGTATTAGTGATTGAAAAACCAACATAATAGAATAGCAACCAGAGTGGTGAGGTGAAATTTATCATGCTGCAGGGGGGATGGTATAATAGGACTTCATTTTGCACTAAGTATAATCTTTTTACTGGCATTGTGTGAACACTTTAGCTCTAAAAGTGTATTTGTTTTACATTTATATTTTTTTGTGTGTAGGTTTAGGATTTTCCTTGAATTCCTTAAATTTGAGTGCTGTTGAACCCCATGGGAAGGTGGCATGTTTTGATGATTGAAGTTTTATTGGACAGTGGGAATCATGTCAGGAAATCTAGTGGAAGATCAATGACTGATCGCAGATTGAAAGCCCCTTGAGTGGAGCTGTTGAGGACAGTGCTGTTTTCTCTGTCGTCAGCCCTCTCTTTCTGCCTCACCTCCTGCTGTAACCAGAATCCCACTGCTTGCCTTAGGTCTGGGAAGAAAGGCGTAAGGATGGTGAAGCTGAACAGTAACCCCAGCGAGAAGGGAACCAAGCCGCCTTCAGTTGAGGATGGCTTCCAGACCGTCCCTCTCATCACTCCCTTGGAGGTTAATCACTTACAGCTGCCTGCTCCAGAAAAGGTAAAGCAGGTGCTTTTGCTCTCATTAGCCCATTAGCCCCCAGGCTCCCCCCATCTCAGGAAATAAAGCAGCAAAAAATTCCACCCCCCAAACCCTTTCATCCCCTTATCTGCCAAATGTGCTCCCTTTCTTGTAAAATGTAGTTATTCCTTCCAGAGCCGAGACATCGCTTGTATTATTTCAGATTTATGGTAAGTGTTTATTCATTTTGTGTTTATATCTGCATAAATGGGCAAGCAAATTGATCTTTCCTTGTTAAAGTTTTCTTACAGCTGGTGAATACTAATAAGCTTCTAGATGGTGACAGAAAATTCATCTTGATTATTTTGGGAAGGTCTTTCAAAAATTGACAGGTATAGATTTGAGGACAGAGGATTGGATTCACTCCAGCAAGCATTCAGTTTGCACCTGCTAAGACCCTGTCCCTATACTAGGAGTTGGTTATAAAAAGACAAAATTACAAAAACCTTTTCTAGTATGACAGTTTAATCTACTTCATCCTGGTAAATGTTACACCTGAGCATTACAAAGATTGTGAGGGTGCACAGGTGGAAACAACTAAATTCTGTTGGGGTGGAGAGGGTTTGGGAATGGGGCTGAGAGGACAGGTTAGGCAGACTGCAGAGGAGAGCATTTGAATTGGGCTTGTAAAGGTGAGTAAAAAATCTTCCTGGCAGACCATGGATTGGGCAAAGGAAGGCATTTTTAAGGCAAAGCATGGAGAGCTTTGGGGGAGCAGCATGACTGCGGGAGAGTGTCTTTTGGGGAGGCGTGGCTGGAAATGAGTGACTGGCTGATGGCACATCTCCTGACATGGGAGTAGTCCATGAAGAATGGAGGTGGGCATTCACACAAAGGTGGGGTGGGGGTTACGGACACAGAAGGGAGAAACAGTATCATTTAAGGTCCACCTGGGACAACCTGGGGTTTTATTATGTGAGCTTTTGTACATGGTAAGGGAGAGACTTGGAGGCCAGTGATGGAGTTCCCTGACTGAAGAGCGAACAATGGATCATTCCATCTGTTTGGTTTCCCATTGGCATCTGCAGGAGGGCATTGTGTGTCTTAACCAATTGGCTTCAACCAATCAATAGAAGAGAAGCCAAAGCTAGATAAAGGGGCTGCTGATTGGCCAGGGGTTGAATCGTTTGTTTTGAAAGTGCAGAGATTGTCAATAGGAGAACGTGCAAGGGTGGGGTGGCTGACAGAGAGAATTCTTAAGAGCCATCCTAAGGAACTGATAAAGTCTTTAAAGATAAATTCTGAACAGGTAACTAACACTAAAGAGATGAGAAGGGGCAGTATTAATAGAGTACCTGCTACATGTATATCAGAGCTTCTTGGTTTTGAACTGCATATTAGAATCACCTGGGGAGATTTTGGAACTCCTGCTTTCTAGGCTACACCTCAGAACAACTGTATCAGAGTCTCTGAGAGTGAGACCCGGGCATTAATATGAATGAAATCTCCCAGGTGGCTCCTGCATGCAGCCAAAGTTGAGGACCATTGTTTTAGATGCTCATTAACTCTGGGAGTCAGGGATTATTCATTCATATTTATAGATGAAAATTTGGTGAGTTATCTAAGCTCACAGAAGGAGTAAGTAGAAATGTTGGAGTTTGAACTCAGATATAAGTAGAAGTTAGTAGGAGAAGGGAGGGATATTCTCTTGGGGCTTTGTGAGGCCAACAGCTATAGCCTTGCAGATCTGCATGTCTCTAAGAGGTGTGCAAAGAAAAGGGATTGTGGTGAGGTCATCTCTCCCCTAGCCTTCTACATGCCTGCAGGTCATCTAGAGATTATCATGGTCTCTGATCCCCCCTCACCCCGCCACACACTTAGGCTCCCACCCACCTCCCAGAGCTTTATTCTTTCAATGAGAGAGGAGGCAGGTCTGAGAACCACTGAGTATCCAGTCTAGGTGTACCAGAAACTGTCCCAAAACCTGAAGGATAATGCATTGTCTCTCATGGTGGGCCTGCAAGCATGCAAGGGGAAGTCAATTATCCTGAAAGATCCAGGGGACCCAGTTTGACACTCTGATTGTCACCACACAGTCTTTCACCAGGGCAGCCTCAGTTTCCTGTTTTGTAATATGGGGAGGATCACACCTACCTCACAATGGTCCGAACAAAGTTAGATGTGGCCTCATATATAAAGTGCCTGGTTAAAAAAACTATAAAGTATAATGTCACCATTTTTCAGGTGCTTCCTAAATTCTTGATGCTAAGCTATATGCGTGCGCGTGCACACACACACACACACACACACACTCACTCATACATGCGCGCAATTTTCTTTCTTCTTCTCAGGAGTTAATAAGTTAATAAGCCCCAGTGAGGGAGTATCTACTTTGGTACAGAAACTCAGACACAGAGGGGTAAAGTAGCTCCCCACAGCAAACAGCTGGGAAAGCATCCTGGATGTAGAGCCCAGGCAGTGCTGTTCCAGAACCTTCCACCTCAGCAGGATGAGAAGTGAGCCAGCCTGGGAGTCCCCACATGTGGTCTGTGGCTCAAGCTCAGCCACTGACCCACAGTGCAGTCCATTCCCCTCTCTTAAGTCTGTCTTCTCTGAGTGGGGAATTGTATTATCAGTTTTCTATGCTAATATTTAGATTTTAGAATCTTTACAAGAGTAATTACATTTTTTCCCCAATATGAGAACAGTAAATGTTAAAAGTAAATGTTGCTGAAGAAGCCAAAGGTCCTCTAAATGCTTAAAATAGTGTCCAGATGACCAGCAAGGACTCTGAAGCCACCTCTTTTGGTGGGTTCAAATCCCACTCCAACTCTTATCAGCCTGCTTTGGCTGAGAACTTGGAGGGTAGTTTCTTAAGTTGCCTCAGCCTCAGTCTTCTAGTGCATAGAATGGGGATGCTAATTTTGGGACTCACCTCACAGGACTTTTGTAGAGGAGGCAGAGCGAGCCCCGACACAGCTGTCAGCCCTTTGGTTATGCTCTGGTCAGATGGTGAGTATTTGAAGCTAAGATGGTTATCAGAAGGAAGGATATTTGACCCCAATGTCAGATCATGGCTTTTCTTTTTGAAAATGTAAAATACAGAGTGTGCTTGTAATACTGAAAGTCAGTATTCTAAGTATCCTTTAGTAGTATGAAGTCTGAATTTCGAGAGAACAGCG